AAAAAAAAAACAAAAAAAAACACCCGAATGTTTCCATGTTTCACTGCCAGTTCCACCCGCCTTGTCACCTCCATCTCTTTTCCAGATACCAACAATGGGCATGCTAGCCTACTTCGTAGACGGCTACGTCAAGTCCAACCAGCTCACACCAACCTACATCCTGATCCTCTTCATCGTCTCGGTGCTCGCGCTAGCCTGGTGCATCGGCACATTATTCACCTACCACCGCTCCTCCACCAACGCGCAATTCGTCGCCTTCGTCGACCTCGCCTTCGTCGGCGCTTTTATCGCCGCCGTCTTTTACCTGCGCTGGATCGGCTCGGTGAACTGCACCTCTGTCGACCGCGGCAACCCTTACTTCGTCGACCTGGGCGCCGTCGGTTCCGCCAACTTCAACACTTTTAGAATTAACGTCAACAAGACATGCGCGATGCTGAAAGCGTGCTTTGCCTTTGGCATCATGAACTGCATCTTCTTTTTTATCACCAGCTTGCTGGCGTGGATTCACGGTGGACATACGGCCAGGAGTGAGAGGGTGTATACCACTAGAAAAACCACTACACATCACCATCGCGGTGGCAGCGGACATCGCAGGAGCCATAGCGGGAGTCATAGCCGCAGCAGAAGGTCAAGGTCGCTGTCGCATTCGAGGTCGTATGTCTAGATCTAGGAGGGATTCGAACTCGAACTTGTGTGTTGTGAGGTTTGGGAATATGTGGAAGAGGAGCGTTGGGAGGGGGTGGGGGATTCAGGTGCCGCCGCCGCCGCCGTCGTCGCCGATGTTGGAATGACGACGATGGCGAGGGTTACAAGTGACAACCACCGCTGGCAATGACCAAGGACGTTGTTGAACAATGTTCGGCGAAGCTTGCTTGGATGATGCACATGCTTTTTTTTTTTTCAAGAAAGCTTATGAGGTGGCTGATGGATGGATGTATGTGGTCGAAGGAAGGAGCTGTGCTCCGTTTCGGACTTGGTTTATGACTGTAATGATTGTCATGTACATACTTGATGACGATGATGATTTGAGGAATCAGGCAGATGTCTTCTCCTTTATATATAGGATCTACGGCCAGTGGCCAACGCCTTTGCACCCACAGGCCCCTAGTCGACTTACGTGACACACTCGCGTCAGGAAGGGCTTTTCCATTAAAGGTGAGATTAATGATCTCATCATTCTGGTGTGTTGTTTACGTTCGATGTTGATTTCGAGTCATTCCTGTCAAGATAAGGTAAGCAACTGACCCGAGTCACAGATCATGCCCGAGTGCTAGTGAATCTTGGCTGATGCACGCCTACGGTACTTGGGTATGGCCATCACCAACATTGGTTCTATATAAAAGGACGGCTTGGAACGCTGTACTGCGTACTACAGCATATTTCATTTTGCAATTATAGTCTCAATGGAGATAATGAACAACCAAGGCAATTCAGTAACCAATGCCAGGGAACAGAATACTTGACATCTCTTCAACATCAACCCCAAAAACGGCTCTTCGACCACCAAGCTTCCGATGCAAAACAATGGGTGCCACACTCTCACAGCCACTTCTTTCGTTACCTTCCAGGGCCATGAAGCCCAAGTCCAAACGCCCCCGGTTTCGATTTCGATTACGAATTCGCTGGAAAAGAAACCGTCCAAAACACCACATCCCCTGTCCCGTACCTGAACGTGACCATCGACAATGCCGTGAGGCAAAGCTCTACGATAGCAGTTGTACAGAGGCCGAGCAATCCCCATCTCCCTTCTCAGACCACTACACTTTTACCTCTGCATCCTCAACCATCGTGCCAACATCCCCGGTTACGGTGGTAGAGAAAGTACCGGGTGCCCTCAGTACATTCGAAGAGCCTCACGACGCCACTCTACCCTCTAGTCCGGACAGCTTCTCCGAATCGCCCCGGGACTTGATACATGCCCTCCTTTCCAAGGAGAAACCTCTACCGCCCTTGCCAAAGACACCCCTATCTTCCATTGTACATCATACCCCCAGCCAACAGACGCATGCCGGTACTCCTAGCGAACTCCGACCCAGGGTTAGCCAAGTTACCGATACGTCTGTCGAAGAGCCCAAACAAGGGGACGATGATGAGACAGAGCATGATTTCTCAGACTCAGACTTCCCGCCACTCCACCGCCGCCCCATCGCCATCCCCAGTCCAGTTCCCAGCCCTAGTCCTAGCTCCCTTCTCAGCCTGAGACTGAAGAGGCCAGAAACACCAGAGACTCTCGCAGGACCAGAGACGCAGGAGAGACCACATACTCCACCCCCTTGGGACACGTCCCTTACCGGTTATGGGTCCGTACTGGAGGTTTCTCGCCCGTTCAGGGCCAGTCGCGTGTTTGAGCACCCGCTTGTTGAGGGGCACTTTTGGGGGAAGATGGGAGATGCGGGTTCACTGCCAGGTGGTGGTGGTGGTGTTGGAGTTGGTGGTGGCCCGATAGCTACTGGCGCAAAGAGGAAAAGGTGGAGGGAGCATGGAGGGGAAAAGTGTCGAGGGGAGGAGAGGGGAAAATTGGAAGCGAAGAGGAAGTTGAAAGGAAAGAGAATGTCCGAGTGGAGAAGGTGGAAGCCCTTGCCTAGGTACCCGGCTTGTACAAGCGTTGCACAGAGAGCTAGCACTTGGGTTGGTTCTGATCACAGGGCATGGAGAGCAGTTATCGAGGACGATAATGATGAAGGATATCAGGGAGAAGATGGCGAGGAAGAAGATGACGAGGAAGAAGATGACGAGGACGACGAGGATTTGGAGGAGGCAATAAAGAGGTTCCTGGAGATGAAGATCCCAGTCGACTTGAGTAGTTTATACCGGCTGACAACCAGTTTTGCGGGGACCGGAGAACATATAACAACTGCTGACCGTGGGATTGGGGAAGTTGCGGCAAGGGAGGCAGGAGGGAAGGCAGAGGAGGAAGGCTCGCAGAACGCGATGGGTCTCGAAGGGGGCCAAGAAGGCCAGTTATCGCCCTTAGCAATCTTCAAGGACTCGGATATCGAGGGCTTTGAGTTCTTATTTGAAGAGGACGAAGGAGGCGGCACATGGTACTCGAAAATGGTTCTTGGGTAGAGAGCCGAAGGGTTGACGGTGAAAGTGAAGTCTGCAAGATGAAGGGCCGAATTTGTGTTTTTCTTTTTGCAGAAGGTGGAAGGATAAGTCGGTGGAAGGAAATAAAATAGTGAAAGAGAAGCAGATGGGAAGGAGAAGGAGGTAGACGGCACAAGTGAATGACAAGGACAGAGATAAATTGAGGATTGAGAGGGCGCTTCCCAATTTTCAAGTTCAGGAAGTGGAAGGTGCGAGCTACCTTGGTTAGCCTTCCCACGGCAGGAAGAAATTCCCACTACAGAGTAAAAGGTTCGGGTCTTTTTAAGATCCTTTGCTCTTTTCTCTTTCATGTGTGAGCGTGACAGTCCCGCCTTGCACCTTCCGTGCCTCCCATGACTCGACCATCGTCTTATCGGTCCCTCGATCAATGTACTCGACATCACTGACCAACCCAAATACACGAATGCGACATAGTCAAATGATTGGATTTCATTGACGGAGTAGATGTGTCCCTCGACCTATTACGTCACAATAAAGACTCTGCTCCCTCCCAACAAACGTGAAGATAGTAACGAGTATCATCGCGATAAACGCTGGACCAAGTAGGAACTAATACTCATCGTCTTCATCCTCCCCGTCCTCTTCGTCTGCCATATCCATAATGAGCCCACCTTCGCCTTCTTCATCGTCCTCCTTGTCTTCACCCGAGATCTCGTTACCTTCCTCGTCATCCTGAAAATCAGCATAGTTCCGCGCATCGTAATCATCCCCGCTGACACTGCCGTCATCACCGTCGTCGTTATCATCATCCGAGTCAGGAATAGGATTATTTCGACCATGCAGTTCCAGCTTCTCCGCGAGAGTCAAAGGCTTGGTGGGGGCTGCGTCATCTTCATCATCTTCTTCAGACGAGTCGTCACTATCGCTTGCGGATGATTCGCTTTCTTCGTCCTCGTCATCATCTGTGTCGGAAGCCGGGGGCCGCAGTCCCCGACGAGATGTGATTTTCCGGGGCATTGGTACCTTCTCTTCCTCTTCTTCTTCCTCTTCATCCTCCTCATCCTCGTCTGGCACAACTCTGGGCCGACGTATGGCTTTCCGCTTGAGTCGCCGCCTCGATACCTCTTCTTCTTCTTCCTCATCGCTATCCGAGATGACCACAGGGTCTCCAGGACTCTCACCACCTGAAGCGCTCTGAGGACTTTCTCTTTGCTTTTCAATCGACTCGTACTCCATCTCCTGATCCTCATCTTCATCATCCGAAAGCACAACAGTACCGCGGGCACGGCGGCGACTCTCGTTGCTGATACGCGCTGCTTTCCTGGCGGTCCATCATGCTCCTCCTCCTCTTCCGAATCCGACTCCAAGACCCGTTTCCTACCAGAGCCGACAGAGCGAGAGGGTCCAGCTCGACGTGGTGAGGATGACTCCTCATCCATTGTTGAGGAATCCGACGGGTCTATGCTGGAGAAGCGAGCAGCGTCGGTTGGACCAAGGCGATCATTTTGATGGACGTTATTCCCGGAGTGAGATTCGTCGTCGGAGTCGTCGGAGATTTCGATGGGGACATCATGACTCTGATTTGCACGTCCTGCACGGCTTGGTCCCCCTTCTTCATCGCTCGAATCTTCCTCCTCTTGATCGCTGCCATCTGCCACAACAACAAGATCATCTTCGTTTTCTGACCCCCCTACCTCATCCTCGCTGATTTCCGAGTCATCGATCCCTGAGCTCTCGTACTCATCCGGCTCCTCATCCCCAAGCTCTTCGTCCGAAGTATAGTCAGAGAAACTCCAGTCGGTGTTATTGTTTTGTTCTTTGACAATCTTCTCAAAGCGCCGAAGGCCAGTTTCGAAAGAGAAGCGTATGAGTGGCTGGAAGATATTTTCTCTGTCGTCGAGTCCACTTTGGGTGTATCGGAGCGATCGCCAAACCAGTTCGCACAGAACACCGGGAATGCTATTGTCGACGGTGAATTCGCAGGTCTTGGAAGGGTTTCGCCAGCAATACATGTAATCAGCATCCTCTCCGACGCCTGGCTCCTCCTCTTCGGTCCGTACAAAGTAATGGCGGTCCTCTTTGTTCGCACACCAGCGCAAAAACCTCGCCGGACAATCGGAGTCATCAATGATGCAGAACGCCCTGTTCAACCGAGGGCAGAAGTTCTTCAACATTGCTTCATAATCAAGCCGCTCCGGGAACCAACGGATATCGATGTGGCGGGCAAGGTCGACATCGAGCGCCAGGTTCCGAATTTGATCCGAAAAGCCTGGTATTGGCTGGAAGGGGGGAGAGACTCTGCCGCCTAGAACTACAACGTCGTTCATGCAATTCCAGCGGATCGTACATTGGCCATTTCGAAAGGTGAGAACATCAGGAAATTTCTTGAGCACATGCTCGCGGCTTTCTCGGTGAACAGCCGACATGATACGGGTGGGAGTGGTTTGCTGGTCAAGTATGTGGCTCTCCCAGACATCGCCCGGATTATTGTTCAGGTTCCCTGGGGCAGGGAGGATGCGGAACTCATAGACGCGTGACTTTGCCGTCAGATCGGGGCAGAACATCTCCCAGACGCGCTGGCGAAGTTCATAAGGCAAGAGGGCGAACTTGGGGAAAGATTGGTGATCGTTGCGTCTGGCTTGGCGAGAGTTCGGGTATTCGTAGATGTGTTCAGCAAGGTCACTTTCATCGTGCTCGTCGTCGTCGTCATCTTCATCATCGCTTGAGTGGGATTCACTCGCTTCGAGGTTGAGCATCGACGCCAGAAGCTGAATACCCCTGCTGTTACGTGTCAAAATTTCTGAGGAAGACACCTCATCATCGCTGGAGTCGTCTGAGTCTGAAGAGACCTCGGAGTTGGATCCAGAATCAGAGCCGGAGTCGGATCCGGACTCGTTGTCGTTGCTCGCGTCAGAACTGTGTTCCTCCTGGTCAGAGTGATGATCTTGATGGTCGGACTCATCCGACGAGGAGTCGGCAGCCATTCTGAATTATCCTAGCCGAGCAGGCAGGGATGGTGCGTGTTGTGTGTTGGCTCTGCAGTGTTGATGTCCTGGATGTGTTGTGGAATGGGAAAGACTGAAGTTGAGGTTGTGAGTGAGCGAGTGAGTGGTTGTTAATATGGGACACAAGATGTGCCGTGTTTGGTGCAGAGGCATGCAGCAAAAGAGGAAGTCGTGCAGGTGGGGCTCCCGTCAGATCTCAAAGCTTAAATCCCTGGAAACGGAGCTTGCCGAGGCGTTGGTAGGGGCCCGTACAGTAAAATACAGTGAATGGATGAAGATCTGCCGGGGTCGTGCACGGTTGCACTCAGTCCACCGAGGACAGTGCGTTTACTAGGGAAGTGCTGCTGGAGCTTCAGCATTGTCAGCAACGAGTTAAGGGCAGGAGGGAACCTTGATGGTCCGATATCAACCCCGATAAGAATGGAAACACCAGACCTCTTTTTGGTCTTTACATCGTATCGTGATTATTGGTTCGTGTGAACATTGGATCATGGTAACTACATAGCTAGCTCTAGCAGCCAACCGATAGACACCTCAATCCGAGAACAATTCTGTCCCAAAAAAAAATTGGGTATTGACAGCTCTGCCAAACCATCCAGTTGAGACTGCCTTCAATTTTCATGTCTAAGCAAGGGATGAGCTATTCCCAGACGCGAAAATGCCACGAGAGGGAAAGTAAGAGCAACAAAGCGCCTGCCCTGCTAAGATACTATAGGTAGAGGTACCTCTAGTAGGTGATATCTAACGCTCCTACTCAACCTCCCGTCCTGCTGCCATGAGCCTTCTCTTCTAGCAACTCTTCTAGCAAAACCCTTACCGCAGCCTCCATGACGGTTGGCGGGTGATCTTTTGAAGTCATTAGAGATATCATCATACCTTAGGTCACCAGCTCCCGTCTGAATAATCCCTGAGGCCCAGAGATATAACCAAGTTCATGCAGCCGGAACGTAGAATTCACGGCTTGTGCTTGGTTGATATCCCCGGGTGGGCCTCTCCATTCTCTCAACAGACAGAGACGTGATGCGGATTGCGCAGTCGGGTATACTCGGGGATCCTTCTACCCTTACGTGGGAGATTACCCCAAGATGTCGAACGGTTGATGAGCCTCGTGAGGGACAACCCTCGAACCAAGATGACAGAACAGAACCTTCCCGTGAAAGCCCGGCAAAAGGGGAATACTCCCTCTTGGTGGGTTTGCTTTGTTCCCAAGAATGCTCTGCTTTGGTCCCGGTTTGTAGGAAGCGTGGACGACTCGACTCGATGGCAATATCCCCAAAGGCAGAGATACGGTAGCCATGGATATCCGATTTTCCAAAAACCTGTTCAGAGGTTCTCCTTCGGCCCACCCGCCACCGCCGTCGTGCCCTCCCCATCTTTGTGACCACCCTGACCACCAACTGGTAACCTTCCACCACCAGCCGGCATCCTAATCCCCAACGCCGCCATCCTTGCCGCCATATCGGCCGCACCACCACCACCACCACCACCGGGCCCCGTCCTAACACCACCCGGATGCGGCGCCACCGTCGCCTCATCCACTTTGCTCTTCTGCAGCGAGAACGCCGGCGCGATCCAATCGCCACAGCTACACCTGAACCCCTGCCATGTATACCTGCCCACGCTCGCCAGACACTTTTGGTTCGGACACGTCAGCCTGCCTTCCAGCTCGCCCTGCTCCAGCGTGGGGCGCATCCACGAGAGCGCTTCGACGAAGTAATGCCCGCAGTCCTTTCTTTCCTCCTTTTCGCCCGTACCCTGGTGGGAAACGATAAATGGCTTGGTAGCCAGCGTCCGCCGACATTTCTTGCATCTGAGACTTAGACTCGACGCCGCCGCACCTGCTCCGTCTACCTGTACCTTGTTTCCTCCTTCCTTGAAAGCCTCCTCGTCCTCGAACCGGATCCAGTCCGGCACTCGCCCGATGCGCGTTGCGTCCTCCACCTCGCGCTTGTAAAGCCACCGTTGGTAAACGGGACTGGTTTCGACCGCGTCGTCCGTTTCGGTTGGACACCCCATGGTCCACCACAGCTCAAGTTGCGACATGAACCCGTCGTTGGGCTCGGCGATGGGCCGTGTTTGGCGGACCCAGTTGACGGCTTGCGTGACGGCGCGGCGCGCGGGCGTGGAGGGGTCGGAGCGTCCGAAGCGGTGCGGGTGTTTCCAGAGGAGGTAGGCGACGATGGCGGAGACGGAGCGGGATTTGCCCATGGCGCAGTGCACTAGGACTGCGCCTGGTTGTGGTTGTGATTGTTGTGGTTGTAATGGGGGTTCAGTGGTCGTGGTCGTGGGTGGCGCGGCAGTTATGGCATCGTCGTCGTCAGTCTTTGCGCTCGTCTTCGTGGTCGTAGGCGGCGCATTCCCTCCCCCGAGGGTTATCGAAGCTGCTTCATCCCCATACAGTCCGCGCTCGATGAAGCGGACCATCTTGGGGAAATGAACGAGAATGTCGGACTCCTCTACATCGTCAATGTCGATGCTGATATGCTGAACGTTGCGGAACGCAGGGTCGGCGGGCAGAGTGTAGTTGATGACGGAGAGGATATGCGTGATCTTGTTTTCTTCGATTAGGCGGCCACGATTGACGCCGAAGATGCTGTGTCGGAGAAATGCTTTGTTAGTTCATTCCAGTTCCCCGTCATGAGACATACAAGCAAAGTATATAAGCATCGTAGGAAGCTCTTTGCGCCGCGGCGGGAGGATCAGGATGGACGGAGTTGGATAAAAGGTGTGTCGCGTGCGACTGCGACTGCGACTTACCCTCCCACGAAAAGATCTTCGCGCCCGTTGATGCGATTTAGGGCCATTGCGGTTGCATGTGTTTCGAGTTTACTCGACCAAAAATGTTTGAATGGCTCTTCGAGGTTCTGTTCGATCTGCTGGTAACGCCAAATAATTCCAGGTGAACTTTTTCCGAAGCTGTCACAAGTTGAGTTGCTCGTCAATCGTGACATCTGTCTTGCAACAGTAATTTTCGAAAACATTGATTGTTGCCCCTCATCGCTGCAGGTTTCCCTAAATGGTTAGGGGACCGTGGCACGCGTGGATACGGGGTAAGTACGTTGACTTGAAACACTGTGCGGTATAAGAATGTATTGTGTATTGTAAGTTTCCGTTACAGAGAAAAAGAAAAATGTCTTAGTGGTGTGTATCTTACATGCAGTACGCATTGCACCCTTCGCATTGGACTTTACATTAAAGTTCTGGGAAAGATTCATATTGAAGCGGAGGCTTGTGCAGGGCGTCTGAGGCTGCTATATAATTATAGCTCTAATAAAATATGCGGTAGAAATACGAGCAGCAACAATTGCTACAATAGTAATAGTTAGCTTTAGCAAGTAAGAGCTTAGAATTAGTGCTATATAATATTAATTAGCTCCTAAATTATGATACTACTAATTTTAATTAGGATATTACACAGTCCTCACGCAATATACAATAAGCGGGCGATTCTAATGCTCTACCTTACTCTACTCGCTTTATCTGCTCTACTCTTTTACTTGCGCTACTTCTTTGTTTCCTTACTCTCTAATTTGTTATATCTAGTCCTCTGCCACGCTGCGCCTTCGATCCAACTTCTATACTTAAATTACCCAATTACTATAAGATTTACATACTGCTCCCACCTCTATTGGTATATAATAAGTACGAAAATAATGAAGTACATAATACTAGTATTATATATTACTATATTTATATTCTATATTTAAAAAATCCTCTTCCAATCAATTACCTCCATTGAATTCTTTTATTCGTATATATTTCGCTTACCATACTTTTGCTACAAATAAAGAAACATTAGCTGTAATCTTTATATAAAAAAACATAAAGAATAAGAAGATTTCATTTTATGTAAAGAAAGGTACGTTTCTAACAGTATCAGATTGTGTGACGAACGGCAGTCTGATCTGCCTAAATGAGATAGCTGAAGGTAATAACTATCAGAGTCGTTCGGTGAAGCCAAAAGGTTCACAACAAGTATGTGCGTGGTACTGGTCTCAATGAACAATTGTGGTAACTGTGATCTGTTGACTACTGTCGAACTATCTGACAATCTGAGTTCTCCCGTAGTCCCTTTATACCTGCTCGCCCTCTGCGAGATATCTGTCTCCGGATGCTCTTGTCGAGCCCCATAGGTCTATCTAGTGTGTGGTGGCTCACGATGCCCTCCTGGCTCACTGTGAGCAGTGGCTCGTCGTGAGCCCCATGCGTGTGCCTCTTTGTCCTTGTTGGCCTGGGAGGGTGACACGACCTAACCCGTTTAGGCCGGTTGTGTTACCGGCGCTGTGGTTGGTCCGTGTGTCCTCATAAGTTCGTAACAGATTGCTACTCTATCTTTTAGGAAATTTACTAATTATATTAGCGTTATTAGTACATAATAGTTGCATAGGGTATTGTAATTTACTGTTTCGCAATCATTGATAGTATAGATTAAAAGAAGTACGTAAAAAAAGTATGTAAAATTCTTTATAATAAAAAGAATATATAGTACAGATAATTTACTTAGTAGTTTTACTAGCTATACTACTAATTTTTCGCTTTATAACTACTTTTGGTAGGCGCAACTATTATAGAATATTACTAAACTGCTTGAATTATATAAATAAGAATATAAGGGCTGAATATTAATTAGGTTTAATATTATTTAATAATTAGTAATTCAATATAAGAATACACCTCCATTAAAGTTCTGTATAAGATTTCAAATACTGATATTAAGTACTCTTCAAGTACTAATTAATGTGATGGCAGCCTTGCAGTTGTACCTCTCGACTGCTATCACAACTATATAAGACCACTTGAGCGACCGAATTGCCAGCTTCAGTTACTTGTATACTTTTGGAACATAGCCTAGTAATGTAATGGTCCGCCAGCGCCGTGATACCTCTCTTAGCTTATTTAGTACTAGTATTAGTAATTGCTTAATATTGTAAGTTACTTCGTCCTATAGTAGTGTTTCTCATTTTCTTTTTAATACTTTTATCAATAATAGTTACGATTTGGATACTACACTTAGATCTAATAAATTTCTTTCTATTAATCGCCCGTCGCTTATTCAAATTTAATTGAAAAGAATTTTAGGTAGTACTGTTGAAAGCCGTCTCTCTCTCTTTCGCGCTTTTATTAAGTAACGTTGTTAATAGTAGTAGTAGTAAGTAGAGGAAGAGGAAATTGAGTAGTAGAAATATTTAAAGGAGGCGTATAAATAGTAAAGAGTAATTTGCAAAACTAGTAATAATAGTAATAGTAATAGTAATAAGAAGTAGAATTTACTTTTGGGTAATTTATTTTTATTCTTACTATTTTACTTACTCTTACTATTTTTCCTATTACTATTCTTATTACTATTACTACTTCAATTACTATTTCGGATACTATTATTGGTCTTATACACGCTAACTATTTACATAGTCTACCCAGTGGGTATGCAGTGCTGCTTCCGTTCTTAGTCGATAGGAAAAACCGTACCGTAGCCGGATGAAAACCCTCCGCTTCTCTATTGCAACGGCGTCGTGTCGACGCCGTGCCTTCGATGTTTATCTTCCTCTCGGTATGACCTCACCGTCATTCCCGAGGCGCAATCTCTAATTCCGTTGCGTGGTCCCCCGACCGCACTCCCACTTTCCAGAATCAAAGATCAATCTGAATTCCCCAGTAGCTCCTCTGCTTTCTTCGCTTGTTCGATCTTCACTGCCAGCTTGTACTCCTGCAGCCGTCCCAGTCGCAAAGCCCAGCGAAGGATTCGTTCCGCCCCCGCCACAGTCTCGAGTTCTTCGTGGAGTTGTTCGATGTTTGTCGGCCACGTTTGGTCTCCCCATAGCCATGTGTCTTCCGTTTCCCTACATTCCAAGACAATATGTTCGAACGTCTCCCTCGCTAACCCGCACCGGCAGTACGGCGTTGTCACCTCCGGCACTCTTCTCTCGAAGAGGAACGCCCGTAAGCCTATTTTGCCTGTTCTTATTTGCACCAGGAGTGAGCTCATAGCCTTCGAGAGGTAGTGCGGAGATGGCTTCTCATCCATACTGGGCTATGTGTGGTACTGCAGCGTGGTTCCATCGAACCGTGCACGCGCCTCTGCGGCACTCAGCTTTTTCCTTTTCCTCATCGCCTCGGCCACCCTTACGTGCCACCTCGCTATCCACTCTCTCCGAGTCGCCTCCTCCAACCACCGCTTCTTTTCACCCGACGTGGGCTCTCTCGCCTCTCCCTGCGGTATCGGGATGTCTTCTTTAGGGGCCCATCGCTCAGCCCACCCAGCCTTTGCCCGGCCGCTGACCCGGGACGACTGTAGTTGTCTACCTCCCCTTATTTCGGATACTACTTTTACTATTAGAATTCCTATCCGAGTTTCTACTTCGGCGGTCCCTCTCCTTTCTTATATTATTATTGCAACTGCGGTTTTTTATACCTGTATTAGTACCCATAGAATTGCTTATAAAAGTAGTAAAGAAGAAGGAGGAAAGGAAGAAATTAGTACTAATGGTAGTAGTAATAGTAGTAGTAATAGTGGTAATAATAGTAGTAGTAGTAATAGTAGTGGTAGTAATAATAGTAGTAATGGTAGTAGTAATAGTGCCCCTATTTAAAATAGTATTTTACCTCTAAAATGTTCAAGTAGCCCGTACGCGGGTATTAGATTCAGAAGATTTTCAAACTTAGTACTAATAAAATAATTAAAGTATGAAGGTACTTTAGATTACACAAACTAAAATACATCACATGTAAACTTCTTCTCTAACTCTTAGCAACTTATATACTATAGTTCCATGTAAAAGTAAAAATCTCCTTGTTAAGTATCTTTTAGCATGGATACTTATAATTTTATACCTACCTCACCTAGTTAAACTTACCCATCATACCAAGTATTGTAATTTAGTAATTGTGAATAAACCCACTTGCGACCACTAATCAAATACTAACTACTAGTAAACTTTAGTGTGTAGAGGTAGCAGCGATAATTTGGGTGATAGCGGTAATTAAAATAGCTAAGGTATATCTCCCTATTAATGGTGGCAGCAGCTTCCGCCTTCTACAATTTTCTACTACTGTACATATAACCTCCTTGCCGTTTCATACATCCAATACTATACGGGTCTATACTTACAATTACTTCAACCTTAGTTATTCAATATTCGATATAGGTAGCCGATATCTACCTTTATTATGTAGTCTCCTAGGTAGCCCTACCATCATGCGGTCGGGTACCTTAGATTGGAATTTATGTATGCCGACACAAAGACTTGTGACAAAACAGATTGAAACCCTGGGTGTCAGAGAGACTGGACGAACAAACAAAAAGCGAGCAGAACGGACTGCCCTGCACGAATGATCCAACCAACCACCAAACCAACCAACCAACCAACCCCCCAATTCCAAATCGAATACAGACATTTTGGTAGGGCTGTGGCAGTGGGGTAAATTCGACGGCGCCCGCTTCCTTGTAGGGCTGAAAGAACATGCAAGTCGTCTCACACATTCCATTCCGCCCACAACAAATAAAAACAGACAATGTACCCAACCGTGTGAGAGAGCGTTTCCACGGATAATAATTCCAGACTGAGTGCATTGTTCATCCAAATGGTTCTTGATGATGATGATTTTTGTTTACCACAATTCTCCCAGAGCCGTGTGATATTTAACCGCCGCTATTCAACACTTTCAGTCCAGGAGTACATCTATCTATGCTGGTCCTGACCATGACCACATTAAAGACGATGTGTCAACTTTTGGGCCTGCGTTTTCAAAGTTGTTCCCGCACGTCAACGCCGCAACCATACAGCTGAAAACTCCATTCCCAAACTCCGAACGAATCCTCAAAATCGTAAATGCTCCAATTAGATGACGTCTTCCCTTCGCGGCTTATTGCGCCGCATGATCTTGAACTGGTACCGCTGTGGATGCCGATATCTGAGCTGACCCAACATGTCAATACCATAATGATGCCATCCATCACCACACATAACCATCTCTCCTCAAATAACAAGACACCAGTTCCATATACCCAAAAATCAACATTGCCCCTTCCCGCTTGACCGCTTTATCGGGGGACCACTGGTCCCTCGTCCATCATGCAAGCGTTTTCCAGCATGTTGGTCCACTTTCCACTCGTGCCGGCATGGCTGTGTTTGAGATGTTGCCGGAAGTGGTCTGCCCGGAAGAACTTCTTGCTGGCATTGCACTCGCGGAACTTGTGCACGTCCTGCAAATGCCGGATACGGTCCTCCCAATCTTGCTCACTAGCAAAGATGCCAGCCGCATTGCGTCCTGTACGGGCAAATTCTTCACCGCAATAGCCACACGCATCAGCCTCACCCGGCCTCGTGCTGCTGTCGTGGAATGCGCGATCGTAAGTCTGAAGCGCTGAGCATGACCAGCTGTGACGACGAACGTGCAGCGAGTTCTGGTGGCGTTCAGCCTCGTTCTTGTTCTTGAACCTGTTCCCACAAAACGAGCACCCGTACTGTTTCTCAGCTTCGTGTAGCCTGGTTGAGAGTGTCTAGGTTAGTGACGCGTGTTAGAGGATAGAGAATATTGCAAGACCTACTTCAAGTCCTCTTCAGTGTCGAACTTCTTTGGCTTCTTCGGGCAGCATTCGCACATGTATGGGCCCTTCAGCTTAGCAGCCGCGATATTGCTAGCACTTTTAGGAATCTCTGCAAGCTTCCTGGGAATCCCGAGCGTCCTATTGGACGGCTCAACCGATCTTTGGGTATAGTCACCCGAAATCCTAGGGTGTGGCGACTGTGCCGCACCTGCCCGGCTGATCGACGATCTTGGTGAAGCGGTGAGGCTGATGGGTGTGGCATACGGGCTCCCACCACCCATCCCGTCCGTCGGCGACACCCCACCGGGAGATACACCATTGGGAGACAGACGGCCAAGCGAACTGTTACTTGTCATGCTGCTAGCAGTCAGATTGCCAATATAACTTCCGCTGCGACTAGCAGCCGACAAGCTAGAGACAGACCCTTGTGAAACGACAGTCAGCCTAGGGGTAGGTGATCCCCTATTCAAGCCTGATGTATCACTACACCTATCGATCGGCGTGGGCGAGGCCGGACGCTTCTGACCCGATTGATAATAGCTTCTTTCTCCGCCTACGTCCCTCCCCGCATGATACAGCTGCGATGGCGAATAGTGGGATGGCCGCGTCTGGTTTCCTTGCTGCCAAGAACCGCTCTCTATCTCTCTTTCATTCTCCCTCTGCCTTTCCCTCCACGGATCTTCGATCTTCAGAGTCCGCATACGCGTAGTCTCCTCCATTGCAAAGTCATTGTCATCGTCGTCTGCGGTATTGAGGAAACCGTCATCCTGCATCAACGTGCTCTTCGTCCTGCGCGCTCTCGGCGGTTGAGCACGATTGAAAACGTTCTTATCAAACCCATCACTAGGACGAAACCCCACGACAGAGGGGCTGGGTTGGCTTGTTGAAGAGAACGGGCTGGGAAGCGGAGATGCCGCAGTGGGCGACGAGGCAAACCCCGATGCGAAGAAGCCCACCTTTGATCGATGTGGGAGAGAAAGCTGGGGAAGGCTGGCGTGGCTTGGACGAGAGCCATGTGCGTCATTCAAGGAGTTGCTGAATCCTCCGCTTTTGTTTAACCTGTTCAACATTGTCTTATCGATCGCTGCATTATCAGGACGAAACCCTTTCATGGCGTGGAGGCCGAAGGGAGACGAGTACTGCGAGGATCTAAGAGTCACACACAGGTTAGTTTCGGAGCATTGGCAAGCCACGATCACAGAGGACCAAAGGGATTGCAGTACCTGACACTATCGTAGCTCTGATAGCCCTCATCATGGGGACTTTCACGCTTGTTCGGAAGCGCTCGCCGTTCAAACTTGAAGGATTCGCTCTCAAGGCTATTGGGACCGTCATTGCGCATGAATTCGGAGTCTCTGTAGTGCTGTACATTCGGGTCGACGGGGCCCTCGACGGGGGCAAGGCGTGGAGGAGGTAGCGGAGGAGGCGCGTTTATCCCGTTCCCGTCTGAGCCGTGGATCGCCATAGGGTGCGAAGCGTTCGAGGGTGAGAGACTGTCGTTCAATGGGATACCAAAGGGACGACTCCCAAAGTGATCCCGGAAGCCTCCATCGCGGCTTGATATAGAAGGGAGGGGACCATCGTCAAAATCCCTCGCGGTGCTGGTATAACGGGGCTGCGTCTGCATTGGTACTGCCCGTGCTGCCATGATCGATGGCGGAGGATACGTTGCGATCGCACAACTATGCACAGGAACAACTGCTGAAGCGTCAACCAGAAAGCTGAAGTCCGGCGCAATGTAGCCGCGATGTTGCCACCACTAGGTATATACGAGCCAGCTCGAGGTCAGGCCAGGCAAGAAAAGCAAGGCAACTGCAGATGCGGCTGTAATGCGGAAACCAAGACGTATAAACAAATGTGACGTTTCGCGAATCGAAGGCCTCAGCCCTGGACCAGACAGGCGCGGTACAAGAGGCGTTGAGACTGGATCGGTGTTGCCGATGCAGCTGGTGTTGAACGGATGCGTATGTAGCGGGCGGTTTGGGTTCCCCGACAAGTACACCAGGTACGGTAGATTGCAGGAAGAATCGCCTTCGGGGGGGAAGACAGGATTAACGATGACAAAGCAAACCAAGAAGACAAACTCCACCTCGTCGAGACAACCGGTGTGTGTAGCTAAACAGGGCGCTTGGTGATATATAGGTGGTTATGGTCTGGGTGGTGGGCGAAGTTGTAGTCCCTGGGGCCGTCGTCGTCGGATCCGTAATGCCAAGCACACGATAGGTACCTCGTTTGGGGGTTGCGTGGTTCTGAATGGTCGACGACGGAGGGTGTAGGTAGGTAGAGCTATGTTGAAATGTCTGGAGTAATGTAGATTGTAGGGTTGGCGGCAGCGGCAAGACACCAGACAGCAACAGACAAGTCGAAAGCGTGATGTAGGTACAGTTGACAGGTAATGCGCGCGCTTTACTTCTGCGAGTAACTGCACCTTTTACCTCGGGCTGGAGACACAGAGCGCTGGTGGTCTGGCTGAGGCGATGGATGACTGAACTCTAGAGCAGGAGGACTGGCGACGGAAGCATTCGAGTGGATTGGGGGGGCTCAGCCCATAGAAAAAGATTTGGCGGAGACGAGTTTCTGGTGGAAGAGGCCTGAGTCCAAAGAGAGAGGAGTCCATCGGATTACGGAGAAGCTGTGGATACCTCTGGGGACGGTTCCAGTCGCCGCTGCTGGCAGTTGCTCCTGGTTGGTCGGTCCTCCTTGCCCCTGGACCGTACCAGCTAGCCTGGCTAGGTAGGGGAGCAAGGGTTCAGTACCTGAGCGTATAGCGCGTATTGCGCGGTATTGTTCGGAATGCACCAGCGTAAGGCCCGTATTTACGTATAATAACCTGCTGACGGAGTTGACAGCGGAATCGGCAAGTTCAAGTGGGGATTCATTCAGTGAACATGTAAAGCCAAAAGTACAAACGACCCGTTGCCTTACAGAATTGGCCGCGTTACCCGACTGCTTGGGACGGTGAGGAGACCGCCAAGTTGTTACGTACGGTCATCGAGCATAATCATCGACTCAAGGACAAGCTTTTTGGTGCTTGAGATGCAGATGGTCAAACATGATATCTTGGCTAGGACAAATGGTCGAAGCGAGGGGAAAAGGGAGGGGAAAAGCGAGGGGAAAGAAAGCGGAGCCCCCAGAAACAAATCGGAAAGAGTGTGGGAGACTGTTGAATCAAGAAGTGTCTCTGAACCTGAATCAGCATGAGTCCCCCCCCGCACGTAGAGGTGAGGAGATGCAGACAGACTGGTGCAAGGTGTATCTGCGCATTCTTGATGCGGGCATTCCCACTCATTCTTCCCCAAAAGTGCCAAACCCCAGCTGGCTACTCTCTGCAGTTTTCAGCCCTGGACAGGAGTATCGAACGTGACATTACAGGGTTTCCATCTGATTTAGCGCTTTCCAGCGTGGCATCCAAGCACTCCCTTTCCGCGCCTTTTTCTTTCGGTTCGCTCGCACCTGCTCCACTTTGCACTCGCTAGTTCCATAAATGGATCCCGCGCGCCCTAAGAGGCTCTGACAAGTGTTACTTACAATACATCCCGCTGTACCGAGATACACGTTTTACGTACAGAGAACGGCGTGCTCTACTGGGTGGTTCTTTTTGACCCTGACACGCTTACGGTTGGCCGTACTATTTTGTAAAGCCAATCATCTTGTGTGTCTGACCTGTTACTGGTAGGGGACGGAAAAGTTTCCGATCCCTTTTTCACGTCCATCTTTGCTACACTACAGCCTCATTGATCGACAGCAGAGAAGGCCGTGAAGATAGAAGAACCTCTTCTGTTAGGGCTGTTATTGATCCAATCATCTTTCTGAGCGATCTTAATGTTTCGTCTTCTCGATGAAGTGCTGTCGCTTGGACCGCGAGGACGGGAGCGGACTGGCATGTTACAATTTTCCTTTCCTGGAATATATGCGTACTGTAGCACGTGTAATGCTTTTGTACCGTTTCTGTGGTAAACTAGGATACCCATCCCGTTTTGTTCACGGAACTCTCCGCTGCCGTGTCTTTATTTTTTGCTTTTTAACGTGCATCACCTTGTGCAACTTCCACTTGCAACTGGAAGCGGCCGACAGACAGCTTTCCCGGTTGAATTTTCTCCACTGCCTCCATGATTCAGTCCTCCACGACAAGTTCAAATCCAAACCCTTTTTTCAAGATCGTTTCTGCCACAGCCATCCACCCAGCTTTGTCGGTCGCAAGACCAAGAGATTTGTGTCTCATCATCCAATGTCACATGGGATAGGGCTATAACTGATCAACACGCAAGCGCCGGAGAAATGGAAAGTGAACAGTGTTCCATCAGCTGTATGCCATACGCAAACATGGATGGCCAGGTCTGTTCGCGGTTACAGACCTGCTTGCTAATTGCTCACCGACACAGCAGGCCGATCTTGAGGAGGGCCGGCACTGGCAGGGCTGGTCTTCGGCGACTGGAATCGGCACACCTCCCAAATCATCACACCTTTCAGAGCCTCCCCAATGAATCGCGGACCCTTGGGTGGCCCATCACTGCTCCGCTTTCAGTCGATCATTGTGCGGAATCATCAACAGCCTGTCTGCCTGTGTGGGTAACTTGCTGACCAACGCTTTACCGTACCGTCCCACGCGTCCTCTTCCGTGTCCGTAGCCGGTGCACCGACTCGACCGACTATCGGGCGTAGAGCGGAGTGCTCGGAATCGTCGGTACCCGCCAGCACGCAGCTCCCGTCTGGCGTGTCCTTATTTCCAGTGTGTGAACATGCCGGTATTGTTGAATTCAGACTCATACCGCAGTACACGTAAAGGTATGTATGCATATCGGTACTGGAGGCACTTTTGCATCAAGACTTCCGCCAAGTGCCTGTGTCTGGTCACAGGTTGGAAATGACTGGAGTCGAGTTTGATATCACAATGTCCAGCCTTACCGGGCTGGCTGGCGTGTTTGGCTTGTTTGGGTCCCTTTTTTTAGGCTTTTGAGGCGCAGCCTTTCCCGCCAACGTCACGATCGAAAGCATGCCCCTGTAAGGCAGACGACAGTCGGCCACTCGCAGGTTTACAGTGCTCGTTACGATGCTGTTTAACAAGGAAGAAGAAAATTCACAATGCTTCCAAGGGTCCGCTGACCAAGCAGATTGCATACCTACTAGGTACTTGCCCTCTGTTGCCGGTCTGATACCAGTCGCCGCCCTACCTAACCTCCGGATCATCGAAGTAGGAGGCCTCTTCTTCCTCGACATCAAGGAGACCTTGTGTGCTTGTTTAAGGCATGATGCACAACACCCATCTAACAGGTTTTTCCCTGGGTCCAATTCATGTGTGATGGATCCATGGTGCTTTCTGTACTCGGCTCCTAGCCCCTTCATGTACGTATCATGCTGGTTTTCGGGGTCTCAGCCCTATGAGGTGTGCCATCCATCTCAACCTCGGCCGTTGGTGTTTTTGGTCACGACATATCTCTACCAAACAAACGGGGGACACACGGGCGGTCTGAATACCTAACGATTCGCCCGGCTCTCCCATGTCCATAGCCCCGAGAGCCTGAAAAGGCGCAGTGCGGGCCCTGGCAGCCCTGGGCATCTTAAAGCGAAGTCTTTTTCCCGAGGAACGCGGGGTTCTCCGTCGAAGGGCTCTGTTGACTTGGCCAGCAGATTGTGCCACAGCCATTTGATTCGCATGTCCAACCAAGAACATTTCACTGCCCTCCTTGAGGTGGTCAACGCCATGCAACGAACAAGTCACCACGGGCATGCTACGTTCAAAAAGTGTTGTTATTGTTGCATGCTCTGGACTTTCTGTCCGTATCCCAGAAAACCAGATGCAACCACGAGGTGAAGAGCTGGGAACGTCCAAAAGTCCGCGATGTGCATGAACAACGTACTTCAGAGTTGGAGGTGGCAGCAAAGTCCTCTGCAGGCACTGGACGATGAGACCCAAGGTGTCACCTTCAGTGCCCTATGTTGCATTGGCAGATAGTCTTTCGCACTGAAGCTGAGTTTTACCCCTACCTCCCTGCCTCGATATATCCCGCCATCCTCGGGCTTTCTATCACGTCTTCGTTATTTAGTACCGTATAGAGCGTTTAGTGGAGTGCGGTATTAGTTCCAGCACTTTCCTGATTAGTTACTCATACCAACTGACTGTGCTACGCACGCAATCTCAACGGCGGATCTTGTGGTAACCCCGACCATCATCAGTCATCAGCCTTGGAACCTAACCATTGTGCAACTTCAAATTTATATCAACCCGTGGTTCCTGTCTCCCAGTGTCGAATCGTCTCCGGCGCCCCAACAAGCGCGCTATGTCGAGGACCAAAAAGCGAGCCGCCTCCTACTGGTGCTCGGCCAATGACGCCGGTTAACCGCCGTTGCCTACCGTAAACTACCACGACGATATATGCGCTGCTTTGCTTTTCGTCTAACATAATGAAACAGACCGAGCGGATGCGATCAAGCGGTTCTGCGTCACCTTCCTAGTAAGGCGAAACGGAGACGACAATCTGGCCGGAGATCACCAGCAGCGTACATACGTACTATGGTATATTAAAGCTGGGGCAATATGTACACTGGCGAAGTCGTCACGTACCGGCAACTTGCGGTACGTGCCACACATCAACTGCCGAGCTATATGTGGTTCTTACAACGCTACCACCAACCAAGCGATGTAATGAC